AAAAGAGCCAACAGATTTCAGAACTTGGTTCGTCCTTACTTCTCCTAATTTTCAGCCCAAACGTCGAAGGACCTTAATGGAAACTAGCACAATTGGTAATAACAGTGGGAGAGGCATAAGAAGGTAATAGGAGTTGTAATAAAATATGTGCATATCGTTCATAGTGGTGTAAGATAGGAGATGAACTTTGTTCGTTTGTCTCACGATAGAGTCACTTATGATGTAGATCGCAACGTTTCGACTGCAATACTGCCAGTCTTCATCAGGCGACGAGGTCGATTGTTTGCTATTTGTAACACGTTGGTATGCTGCTATTGGCGCATTTCGATCCTCATTATTATTCCGGTCGTTAGATAGTGTTCACTCATAGGTCCTCATAAATCGGCTGTTGTGTTTTTTGATCGTGGGTATCCAAGCTTCGAGGATGTCGATTCCGCTATCCCTATTGATGTTGTTGGGATAAAGTCTGATATGGATAGCCTCTTTGACCCTATGTGTGTACCAGTGGGGGTCACGTTCAATAAACTTAACCTTGCTCCAAATAGGAATATGCCCCGTTTCGTTAGCGTGCTCCGAAACCGTAGAGGTCTGAGTAGGAGCAAACCGTATGTCCCCGTCATGTTCTTTTATCCTTTCTCGCATTGATCTCCCAGTTTCACCGATGTACACTTTGCCGCATTCGCATGTGATCTTGTAAACGAAACCGTCTTGTTTTGATGGTTCCAGGGCGTCTCTAGGTCGTATTAAGTGAGAACCTCTGATACACCCTTTATGTAAGGAAGAACGGCAGTAGATTTAAATTTCTGCGCGGGTTCTTTGTCAATTGTTACCCTTGTTCTCTTTGCGAGTTTTCTTACAAATGAAGAAGGATAACCATTAGAAACAAGAACTGGTGACAGGTGTTTCTTTTCCTCAGAGATAACTGACTTTTTCGTTGTGAGGTGTTTGGCTCGGTCGTAAAGCCACTTAACAATACCACGCTTCACTGACTGAGGGTGGTGTGAATCATAAGCTAGGTACTGGTCAGTGTGAGTGGACTTTCTGTAGACAGAGGTGGTGAGAGGACCGTCTGAGTCCCTTGTAACTGTTGTGTAGAGAAAAGGAATAGTGTTATCTTTCTCGATTTCCATGGTAAAACGAATAAGAGGCTCTTGACTGTTTAGATGTTGTAAAAAGCCGTCGACATGGTCCCGCTTTAAGACTGTGAAAGTGTCATCTACATATCGTTTCCAGATCTTAGGTTTGCAAGTCGCATTTGTTATCGCTTGTCCCTCAAATTCTTCCATGTAGATTTTGGCTTTAACCGCAGAAACAGGGATTCCCATAGCTGCTCCGTGTTGCTGTTCCTAAATCGACCCGTTATATTGGAAATTCAAGAGGTCGGCAATTTGTGTAGGTGTTAAGTTCGTGCGGTTAGCAAGATCGCTGTCGTTCTCTAGTTTTCGTAATGAGGCTTGAACTGCATCTCCGATCGGTACGTTTGTAAACAAAGATTCTACGTCAAAAGATACCATGACTTCGTTATCATGTACTTCCTCGTGACTGATGGTTGACATGAAGTGCGCAGAGTTAATAACTGAGCAGCCTGAGTTGCCTGTCAAGGGGGACAGGACATTGGCTAGGTATGCCGACAGATCGTAAGCAAAGGTGTTAATACATGATACAATTGGTCTTAACGGTGTGTTGGGCTTGTGTATCTTAGGTAAACCGTAGATCCTACGTGACTGTTTGTGCCTTGTTTGATCTTATTATAGTTGGTTTCCGATAGATGTCCAATTTGTTTCAAGCTGAGGAGCTTGTCAGTGAGTTTACGGCTTAGCCGTTCTGTTCGGTCTTTGTTAAGGAGTCGGTACGGACCCGTTTCGATTAAGGTTTTCATTTTGTTATGGTAGATGTTTGTGTCTAGGACCACACTAGCGCGGCCTTTGTCCGCTGGCAGAATAGTGATAGTGTCATCTTGTTTTAGATTCTTACGGGCTACTTGCATATCCTTCGTAGTGTTAGGCTTAGGTGGTTTGGCCTGTCGAAGGATACCGTTTACAGTT